AGGAGATTCGTAGCACGCTCGCTTAGGAAGATTCTGGTAGCTTGCCATGTATCAACAGTAATATCGAGTTTTTTTTTGTTTTACGCTCCTTTCCACTTTTCCTTTTTTTCCTATAATTTTCTGACTGGAACTTAGGGGCCAGCCTCCTTGTCGCCGTGACCGCACTCTCAGGCTTTCTAATAAATAAAGCATTACGTGCTTTCTACATCTTGTGGGCAAGGTGTGATACCTTTTAGTTTAGTAATTTTATTCTGTAAGGTGCAGTAGTTTTGAATGTGCGTAATCACATCACTTACAACACCTCCCCACGTCTGTTTTAGGTTTGGCCAGTATAAAGACTTTTCGCCCTTGAAAACTGTCACAGCTTTGAGGGAGGTGCTCCAAATGTATGTATATTGACGGGATGTTAGAGTATTCCACATTATTTTTAAGACAATTTGTGGAAATTTGCAAAAGAACGCAAAGTAAAATTACCACATGTAGAAGTCGCATCAATTTGTACTATGCTACAGTCTAACACCTGTTGATACGACTTCGTGTACGATGTGCAATTGCACACCTGCGCGGCAAGAGCTATGCAATCACAAATTCATGTCATTTTCTGCTATGGTTATTCACAGCGAGTACTTGTAGATAAAGTAAAAGAATTTTTATCTTTTTAACAAATGAACTCGATCTAACTATGACTGTTTATTACTTTGCTACCTGCGCCCGAACAGAAATATCCGAAAACTTCAAACAAAGGTACAATGTTATTATTAGTCAGAAAGGAAGACAAAGAAGAAGAAACAGGGAGTCGTCAACGAGGGGAATTCTTTTACAGAGTAGGGTCAACACACGGAAAAAAGGAAATTGCGCTTAAACTACGTGATTTTCAATAAACTAAACCGGGTGCCGAGGGAGTACTACGTAAGATCTACACCGGTGACACGGACCACGGTTGATCACTACAATGGCTAGACAGACTACGGACTCGCGACAAAATAATAGTGGAGGGAAGAATAGTTGGTTGTGTAAAGAACGTTGGAAGAAGAAGGGAGACGGCGAATATGCGCGACTCGCGCCCGACAACTGCAACACACTTTCACGCAAACAAAGAAGCGGGCCGTTTTACAACATATTTACAAGGAATGGGAAACTAGAACAGAACAACGTGAGAGAGACGGCTCTAATGATGGTGGTGATGATGATGACAAGCGCCTCACGCACGCACGCACACGTGCCGCACACATGCGCGCAAGGCCAATCGCGCCAATAACAACGGGAGCGGGAGGCGTTTAAGGCGCCAAACAACACAACAACTGTCTCACAATCAATCAAGAAACAATGAAATTTCCAATATATAAAGTTCGATGCATAGAATGGGACGTTTATAATATCGTCCAAATAATGGACAACTAGTTCACATTGCGGACCATCCGTCCTAGGAGTTAATTCTTCAACGGGCGTGGACGAATTGGTGGTGGGCCAACGGAGAAGTCCGATGCGACTAGACGCTCCACTTGTGACTTCTGGACAACATCTTCAGGTCCAAGTGTCCATACTAGAGAGCACCAATTGACCGCACGTGCGCGACACGCAGCGCGCCGAACGGCGATCAATGCTTGCGTCAGACTGGCTGTTTCTGAAA